ACCCACCCAGGCCCATCTGGAACCATGACTCTTACTGTGGTTTTCCGATTGTGTCAATGCTTATAATGTCAGCCGTGTGGCTTGGGTGGGATTTTCAAGAAGGGTTTGGAGTCCAGGGGAGTTTCACTAGCCCTGAAATTCAGGTATCAGATGGCAATCCAGAGACTGCAAAGAAAACTGGGTCCCTTGTGTTTCCCAGCACCTGAAAATCCCAGAATCCTTCACTCATGGCCCTTTCCTCCATCTTCAAAGCCAGCAATAGAGCATCTTCTAAGTAGAGCATCTTCTAGTCTCTGTCTCTGATCTACCACCTCTGCCTGACTCTGTATTGACCTCAAGGATTCTAGCTCCTTGACAGTGGCTGAGTCTTCCCAGACTCTCCCCATTTGCTTAGACAGGCTGCCAGCCTCTGCTGGTCCTCACACCCAGCTCTTCCAAAGTTCATTCTTTGGTCACACACAGGTGGAATCTTCTCCAGGGCAGAATTGTGGCTCACTTCCTCCTCCTGAAGCACTCAACCTAAGGTTCAGAAAGCGCAAGGCTTGACCAGGTGAGCCAGTGGCAGTCTGCACTCACAGCCTCAGTCTGTCTTCCCCTGTCTCCAGGGCTGGTCAGGGTGGAATTCGGACCACAGTCCACATGCCCTTCTGGGCACTACCTGAGACCCTGGCTATCCCTTCCTTGCCTGCCTAGCAAGATACAGCTGTAGACCCCAGGCCCATCTGCCAGTATTACATCGCCCAACCTGTCCCTTTCCAGGGGCCAGCTTGTCCGTCTCACATCCAGCAGTAGAGGGTGATGTGGCTTTAGCTCGAAGCAACTGCAACCCCCAGCCCCATGCCTGGTCCTCCAGGTTTGGACTTTGGTGCTTGAGAAGGGAGCCGGCTGAGACTGAAGCAGTGTCGCCCACAGCCAAGACTGGCAAGTGGTTTCAGACCCTGGAGTCTTACATGGTCAGACTGTAGGGTCAGAAGTAGATGCAGCCTGAGCAGAATGGACACACAGAACAGCAGAAATCTTATCTGGTACCTACTGGGGACATGGCCCAAGTATCCTGCCTGAGGCAGAAGAGGTCGGGACTGGCAGCAGCTATGCCACCACTGAACCCCCAAGCCTTCCAATGTCCTGTCAGGACTGCAGGTGACCTGCCCCTTGCTGCCCTTCTCCAGGGCTCAGCTCCAGACAATCTGGTCTACAGATGTGTGCAGCTTCTCAGACATTCACACCAGGGTGCCAGCCTTGCTTACAGGTTGTTTTGCCACAGGTCTCATATAGCTGAGTGTGGCCTCGATCTTCCTAAGGATGACCTTGAGCTTCGGAATCTCCTGCCTCCACCTCCCAATGCTTATAGGGGAGTATAGTCATGTATCATCATACTCAGTGTATATGGCCTTGGGGTTCTAACCTTGAGCTTTGGACATGCTAGGCATGTATCTTAGTATACCCCCAATTCGGCCCAGTCCTTTGAGGTGCTTGTCCTTAGGACTTAACTTTTCATTTCTCTGTGGCTTACTTGTGCTGGGTAGGGGTCTCGATTGCAGTGACCAGGCATGAAGTACCTTCAGGGTTGGTTTCCCTGACCTCCTACCCTCCAGGAACCACAAATTCACTGAGGCCATCAAGTATGGGCTCAGGGGACAGGAAAAAGCTGAAGGTCATAGTGTCAGGTGACATATCCCTAGACTAACGGTCAGGGCTTCACTGGCTTGAAATCAAGGTGCTGTCCCTGCCTAAAGTAGGGGTGGTGTCTAGAGCAAAGAAGGACCCAAAAAAGGTAAGTGATACTCACATCCCTCTTAACCCCTGGGCCAGGTGAAGCACTGGACTTAGAGACAATCAGCAAATGTTTTGGGCCTGAGGTAGTAAAAGGCATGCTGGGAAGAGCCACTTTCCTGTCCTTAGAACCAACCCCAGTAGCTGCAAGAGGAACCATAGCTGATAATATCTGAAGTCACTGGGTGCTACTTCAGGGCAGCTGAGTGCTCTGGGGACTACACTTTTCCTGGAGGGTTCCTGGGTCAGCTAGAATAGTGTTACCACTAAATGCACATCTACCCTAAACCATAGACTGAATTTATTTGGAAAAACTCTTTGTAGATGTGACCAGTTAAGTTGAGGATGTGCTGGATTCGGGCAGCCAGAAATCCAACGGTGAACATCTTTGTAAGAGTTGCCAGCCAAGCCTGGTGATGCATGCCCGCAAAGCCATCACTCAGATAGCCACCAGCCTGACGCCAGTGTAGGCTACATACCAAGACCCTGTCCCAAGGTTAAAAAATAAGAAGTGAATGCCCAAATGCAGATGACAGCATTGATGGTTATGACAGGTTTCGAAACAAGAAACACCAAGTGGCTGGCAGGACCCCAGGCACTAGCTCCAGGAGGACAGAGAAAACATTCCTATCTAAAACCACCCAATTTGGGATCAGTGATTAAGGAACCCAGAGGAAGCTACCAGAAAGGCAGACTGCCTCAGAAGGATTAGAGAGGAGCTCCTCACTCAACCCCACTTAGGTTTAGGTACATCTAGGCTTTCAACCAGGGAAGGGAGACGCTTTGTCTTCACACCACCAAGGATGCTCAGCGGTTGGTTCAATCAGACTGATTACAAGGACAGCTGGGTCTCTGGGCAAGTAGGTGGCAGCCTACATGAGAGTCCTTCTCCAAGTCCTTACTGGGCTGGTTGACATGGTTATGGTTAATCTTAGCTGAACAAAGGCCCAGAGGCTGGAGGGGCTTGGAAGGAGTTACAAGGACTGCAAGTATTAGCTCCCTTCCTGGACCTAGTGAGTGATTGCATAGCCTAAGTTCCCCCTTGCTCCAGGTCCTGTTGCTGCAGAGCATGGTTTACACCATGCAGCGCAGGCAGGATGTCCTCTGGAGAGGCGTACTCCAGAACTCAAAATAGCATGAAATTTAATTTTCCGCCTATTTGACAAAGCTTGGATGGGGCCACAATCAGCAGTACAGATAAGGGTCCTCGGGTCCAGGGTGTGGGCCAGCTGGGCCTGAGGCAAACACTCCATGGTCCCCCGGCAGGCTGCGTGCAGGTGAGGCAGTCTTCGGGTACTCCCCCCGCCGGGGCGCTGGTTGCTGGGCGCTAAAACAAACGGGCTCTGTTTGCCCAGTCTGCGACGACAATGCCGTTTCCAAATATTTGCCAGCCTCAGGCAGTTGTGGAGCCCAGCTATAAATGCTTGCGCCCCAGGTGGAGGTGGGCCTGCTGAGTGAGCGCTACAGTCCCAGTCAGGTAGGAGCCTGGGTGAATGTGGAGTCTTCTGGGGTGTCACACCCCTGGGGGTTGGGGAGGGGTGTCTGTCCCGCTGGTAATGTCTGCATTAAGCTCTCCACTAGCAGCGATCCTCAGAGGCTACTGTCAGGACTATTGGACACCTCCTGAGACAGAAGGATCCAGCAATGTAAGACATCAAAGTGGCCAGCCTCTATTTCTCAAACTAGCAGAGAGGAGCTGGGCAGTTTGACCCTGAGCAGATCTGACCAAGGGGCCACTCACACCTAGGCCTCTCAGATAGAGATCGTCTTCTGATACACCCTGTTGGATACCTGCTCTCCCCCTCCTCTGTGAAGGAGCCTGGTGGCTCTAGGGATGAGATCTACTGTAGGGTCACCAGCCAGGGGACAGAGCCATGTCTAGGCTCCAAGTGAGACCCCCCTCTTTCCTTCCTTCCTCCCTCCCTCCCTCCCGCCCTCCCTTCCTCCCTCCCCCTTCACCCCCCCCCTCTCTCTCTCTCTCTCTCTCTCTCTCTCTCTCTCTCTCTCTCTCTCTCTCTCTCTCTCTCTCTCTCTTTCTTCAGTTTTTCTAGACATGTTTTCCTCTGTGTAGCCCTGGCTGTCCTGGTACTCAGTCTGTAGATCAGGCTGACCTCAAATTCAGAGATCTGCCTGCCTCTTGACTCCTGAGTACTGAGATTAAAGGCATGTGCCACCCCACCTTGCTTGACACCCTTTTATTAAAAGAACAGCTGGGCAGTGGTGGCGCACGCCTTTAGTCCCAGCACTTTGGAGGGAGAGGCAGGTGGATTTCTGAGTTTGAGGCCAGCCTGGTCTACAGAGTGAGTTCCAGGACAGCCCAGGCTATACAGAGAAACCCTGTCTCGAAAAAACAAATAAACAAACAAAAACGAAAAAACCCAAAAAACAAAAAACAAGAATTACTACCCAAGAGGGGTGGCACATGCCTTTAATCCCAGCACTCTGGAGGCAGGAACAAGCAGACTTCTGTGAGTTTGAAGCCAGTCCAGTTTATATGGCAAGTTCTAGGATGGCCAAAGCTATGTAGACAGGTCTGATCTCAAAACAAAGAAAACCAAAGAGGAACAGGAGGAAGAAGAGGAGGAGGAGGAGGAGGAGGAGGAGGAGGAGGAAGGTGGAAGAAGGAAGGAAGAAAAGAAAAAAGAAAGAAAACCCCAACAATTGCACCTCTTCAAAAAGAAGCCCTGGAGCTGTGACTGTAGCTAACGGTAGCTACATAGGAAGTAGGTCTGCTGGAGCTTTTTGGCTGTCACAGCCCCCGAAGCTCCCAATGGTATTTGCCAGGCTTCTGAGCCTGTCAAGGCAGGTTCTGGTTCTGTCACCTCAGTGATCCAGGCTGAGACAGGGTAGACACCTTGTCCAGTGCCTGTCCCTTCCTGTCTGGGTAGTCCTGCCCTCTAGGACTGCCTCTGGCCCTACCCTGTGGCCTGAGTGATCACAACTGTGGTGGTCCTCATGGTACCATCTGTTTCCCCTGTATCATGATGGCTCCACCCTACACAAGTACATCTCTCTGAGCTCAGGAGGCCCCGGGATGGAGAGAGCAGAGCTGAAGCAGCATTTTGCAGGCCACATGCACAAGCTGTGTCTAGTGTTTTGCAGGGCTTACACACAGGCTGTGTCTAGCGGGCACTGCCAGCCCTCACTTGCTAACTCATCCTCTCACTTCTCTCCTAGCCTGTGTTTACTGTTCCAGGAACCCCCAGAATTTTGGAGACCTCAACAAGATGGCTGCCGGTGTTATACGGTCTGTCTGTGACTTCCGGTTGCCCCTACCATCACACAAGTCTTTCCTGCCCACAGACCTGGAGGCTCCAGATACTTCTGAAGAAGAGGAGGAGGAGGAAGAAGAGGAGGAAGAGGAAGAGGAGGAAGAAGAAGAGAGGAACCAGGTCCTGCAAGGTGAGGGGTCACAGGGATGCAGCCCAGACTCCCGGAACTCAGGAGTAGCCCCTCAGGGTCCCAGCAGTCCTGAGACCCCAATGCAGCTGCTGCGGTTCTCAGAGCTCATCAGTGGTGACATCCAGAGGTATTTTGGACGCAAGGACACAGGGCAAGACCCAGATGCCCAAGACATCTATGCTGACAGCCAACCAGCCAGCTGTTCTGCCCGGGATCTATACTATGCTGATCTAGTATGCCTGGCCCAGGACGGGCCCCCAGAGGACGAGGAGGCCACTGAGCTCAGGATACATTTACCTGGGGGGCCTGTGGATCAGGTGCACAGGCTGGGCCACAGAGGAGACAGGGTGCCACCACTGGGCCCCCTGGCTGAGCTCTTCGATTATGGCCTTCGGCAGTTCTCCAGACCCAGAGTATCAGCTTGCCGAAGACTAAGGCTGGAGCGGAAATATAGCCACATTACCCCCATGACCCAAAGAAAATTGCCTCCATCCTTCTGGAAGGAGCCTGTGCCCAACCCACTAGGCCTACTGCACCCGGGCACACCAGATTTTAGTGATCTGCTGGCCAGCTGGTCTGCTGAGGGTGGCTCTGAGCTGCAGAGTGGAGGCACCCAAGCCCTGGAGGGGACACAGCTGGCTGAGGTCTAGTGAGTAGGCAGATGAGTCAGGAGTGTGCTGGGGGCAGCAGTGGCCATTTCTACCTTCAGAAGAACCCAGCACCTACTTCCTGTAGCACAGGCCCTGCCCTAGTAAGTCTATCTAAGTAGTCATGCAGTTACCTCTCCCTCAAGGAGAGCGGGCCCAAGAGGGTGTGAGCTTATCCCAAGCCTGGAACTGTTGCCACCAGCACTGAGAGGAGAGAGGGAGGGAGGGAGGGGGGGAGGGAGGGACAGAGACAGAGAGACACAGGGAGAGACACAGAGAGACACAGAGAGAGAACAAAAGCTTATCCAGACCTGCCACATCTGGCTACCGGCTCTTGAGGGGCAGGGGGACCCCACTATACACAGTAGGCCTCAGGACTGCCCATATGAAGTGAATGGAACCCAGGCGAGAACTATTAATCACCTGTACACCCTTGCCCGTTGTTACTAGGCCAGCCCCAAGATTCACGTCAGTAGCAAAGAGCAGCTGCGTTGGGACTAAAACCAGGTCAGCTCTTTACATTTGTCCTCTGGAGGGCTAGAGCTGGCGGTTCCATGTGTCATCTCCTCAGCCAGGCTGGTGGCAGGACTAGGAGCTGCACGCAAGAGTTCAGGTTTTCTTGAGAGGCCAGAAGAGGGATACTGCCTGATCACAGAGACCTAGATGCTCGCTCTCCAGATCTATGCTCGTAGGCGGCTTCCTTGGCACCTCTGTGTTAGTGGGTAGGTGGGCAGGGCTGGGATGTCTGAGGGCCCTGTGTCCTTGCTCTTTACATTTGTCCTCACAGGCAGCAGGGGTGTATCCTGACAGGTGTGGCCTGGGCGCCCCTGCACAGAACTCCCAGTGAATGTGATAGTCTGGCCTTGTACTAGGCAGGACAGGAGGGGTCCTTCAAGGACCAAATAACTTGGGCCTTGTGAGTTTGGTCCCTCTCACTACTTGACACCCTTGTCAGGCTTGTGAGCTGTGGAAAAGCCATTCTATCAGATAACAGGAGAGTCTGGCTCCAGTAGGTACAAGGACTGGCACGTTTATTTCTGGATCATAGTCAGAGATGTGAACTCATATGCAGGCTTCCACTGGGTCATGGCTGAGATCACTCCGGGCCTTTTCTGGGCCACCAAGTTCAAGAGGACTGTCTTCCAATGAAGCCACCTGCCCAGAGACATAGCTCATACACAACACAACCCCTGTGGCAGTGTTGCTACCCTTGGGAGACCCGGCCTCTCAGGTGCCCACCTCACAGCCTGGTACACTCCCCAGGAGTTCACAGAGACCAGCTCGCCCAGGGCTATGTCCTTGATGAAGAACCGCTGCCTCACCAGCGACATAAATACCCGCTTGCTGCCCAGCGTCAGCGGCCAGGGTCCCTCCTCACTCCACAGACGCAGCATGCTCTCACGCAGGGTTGCAATCTCCTCTGTGCGCTGCAAGTACAGAGGTACGGGGCCAAGAGGACCCGTGGGGAACAAGACCAGTACAGAGGTGGGTGGCAGATGTGTGTATGTGGGGATGTCTTCTACAGAGGAAGCCCAGCGGGAGGTCCTCACCTCCAGGACACACTGTTCAGTACCACCCAGCTAATGTGTTCCTGGGGCCCTGTAGAGATGGGAACAGATGGGCTTAGGGCAGGCTGGCAGAGGGTGAGGGGTCAGTGGTTCTCCCAGAGTTTTCTCTCACCAGCTTGGTCTCATTATTAAACTTCAGATTCTGGATGGTTTTGTTGGCCTGGAGGCTGTTCTCCAACTTTATCATTTGCTTCTGAAACTAAACACAGCTCTAATCATGAACAGATATGGACTGCCGACATCCAAATCTACCCACCAGCACAGCAACACTGGGGGCCTGGAGTTTAGGGAAGCAGACAGACACGGGTGCCTTCCTGGGGCCCAAGGGATATATACCGTGGCCAGCTGGCCCTGGATCTCTGCAATCTTCCGTCCAGGGTTCTCCTCTTTCAGAAGCTGCACAGACATCAGCAGGCTAGCTAGCTCCTGTCGCACACTCTCAGCCTCAAACTCCCTGTGGGCGCCAGGGCTTGGTTATAGGGGGCTCCAGAGCCCAAGGAAGAAGGCTCAGTTCAGAGCTAAGACTCCTGAGGCTGTCCCAGGGCTAAACTTGAGGGTGCAGGCTATTCTTTAGGAGGTAGAACCCAGGGTGGGACTAGCTAGGGACTGGGCAACCAAACAGGCAGAGGTGCAGGACTGGGAAGGACCAGTAAAGATCAGGAAGGTGGAAGAGTTTCTGTATCTCCCAGAGGCCTGGGTGGCTTTGAACCCTCACCTGGCCTTGCCCTCAGCAGAGATCTTCACATCTATGTCACTCTTGTGAAGAACACACTTGTTGGAGACACTTTCTATCTGAAATGTGGAATATGTAGGAGCCCAAGGTGACTTATCACAGCCACCTGGGAGCCCCAGGCCAGCTCAAGCCTAGCCAAGGTCTAGAACCTCAAGGCTAGTGGCAACTCTGGCCTTACCCACCTGCTGGGGGAGGTTGTTCACTTTCTCCTGCACCTCCTGCAAGTGAGCTGAGACTTCTTTCAGCCACTGGGCCAGATCCTGCAGGGACTCCCTCTCCACACCTTCCCTTTCAGTCTGCGCCTGCAATTTCAACATCCTGTAAGGGATGGTAGGCAGATGGGTAGACAGGGCCTGCTGAAGCTAAGAGGCAGAGTATCTGACTCCAAAGCCTGTTTGTGTAAAGCATGCAGATTGCCTGGAAAGCCTGGCCAGACACTGCAGAAGACAGATGTCCCAGACTGATGGCAGCTGAGGTGGTCTTCCCAGGCAGGGCCATTCAGCTGAGCAGAAACGTGCCCTTGAGGAGCTGACAGTTGTTTGTGACAGGAATAGAGAACAGACTGACCACACTTGAGGAGGCTACATTGTGGTCCATGGACCTGTTGGCAGCTGCTCTGGCCATACATATCCAGAAAGGATGCAGAGGCAGCCAAGGTTGGGGGATCTGCCCACCACACCAGAGTGGGTGTTCACAGCAGTTACAAAAGAGAAGGGCCTCTTGTGTCTATCAACAGAGGAATGAGTATGCAAAACATGGCCTGTCCACATGTAGGAACATTATCCAGCTACCAAGGGATGAAGCATGGATTCACACAACAGGGATGACCCATGAAGGCAACTCAGGCGAGAAGCCCGAGATGAAAGGTTTATGCTGGGATGAAGTACCTAGAGCATATAGATCAGAGCTAGGTGGGGGACGAGAGGAACGGTTAGCCTCTGGGTTTCTATCTGATGTAAAGAGAAGGTTCTGGAGCCGACCTGGATAACTTCTCTTGTGAACGTACTAAGCGTGCTGGGTTTGAGTTAGGGTGAGGGTTGAGCTCATAATCTTCCTGCCTTGGACTCCTGAGGTTGGGAGCACACTGAGCATCAGGCCAGCATAGGCTACACAGCAAAATCCTCTCTTAAATCAAAACAATAGTGACAAGATAATAATAATAATGGGATGAAGAACTGGATCGGCAGTTCAGAGCACTTGCTGCTCTTCCAGAGGACAGGAATTTGGTTCCCAGCACCCAGGCTGGGTGGCTCACATTCATCTGTGACTCCAGCCTCAGGAGACTGACACAGTCTTCTGCCTATCTGAGCACTTACACACATGTAGTACATACACACATACACATAAATAAAAAAATACAAAAAAGGAAATTCAAACAAATAAAATATACAACTAAACAAAACCCACTGAACTATATGCTTTAAAAGGTGATTGGGGGTGGCTGGGTGGTGGTGGTGCTCTGTCAAGACAGGGGTGCTCTATGTAACAGTCCCAGCTATCCTGGAACTCCTTTTGTAGACCAGGCTGGCCTTGAACTACAGAGGTCTGCCTGCCTTTGCCTCCAGAGCTGGGATTACAGAAACGTGCCACCATTCCCGGCTGAAAGGTGAATTGAAGAAAGAAAGAAAGAAAGAAAGAAAGAAAGAAAGAAAGAAAGAAAGAAAGAAAGAAAGGAAGGAAGGAA